GGGGGGGGGTTTGCAGTTTTTGTTTCCTTCTTGTTTTTTTTCTTTTGCAGTTTTTTGACCGGGGCTGGGTTTGAACCTGCCACCTCTGGTATGTGGGGCTGGTGCCCTACTCCTTTGAGCCACAGGTGCCACCTTTTTTTATTATTTATTTATTTATTTATTTATTTTTTAGAGAGAGAGTCTCACTTTATCGCCCTCTGTAGAGTCCTGTGGCATCACAGCTCACAGCAACCTTCAACTCTTGGGCTTAGACTATTCTCTTGCCCCAGCCTCCCAAGTAGCTGGGACTACAGACGCCGGCCATAACGCCCAACTATTTTTTTGATGCAGTTTGGCCGGGGCCGGGTTTGAACCTACCATCCTCAGTGTATGGGGCTGGCGCCCTGCTGAGCCACAGGTGCTGCCTTTTGTGTCCTTCTTGTCTGCCTTTTAACTCCTCTACCGTTCTCTTCAAAACACAGAAGTAAAACTGTGCCTTTTAACCAACCAAAAATGTTTGGTGATGTCTCTGAAGTATCTTCCCACCTGTAATTTTAGATTAGTAAATAAAAATGAATTATTTAGCATCTTTATTTATTAATAGAGGGCTAAAGGGCTTACCCAATTTGAACTGTAGATGCATAAACTTTTATGCAGCCTCTGGTCTCGGAATAAGAAATCTTTCACAGATTCAAATAACTACATTTGAATTACTGTTCTTCAAAATTTTTCTTTATTTTTTAGGTTTCCATTACAGTGTTCAAAACATGGCAATAAGAAAATTTCTTCTTTCATAAAATATTTTAAGGAGATAACTAAAAATAATAATAAAAAGAAACAACTAAATCAGTGATTTATTTAGCATTAAAATATGGCTATAGTATAAACTTTATTTAAATCAGCTTTTGTAGGTAAGAAAAAAGAGACTTTTTCCTTTGTGCAAAGGTACATTCTTAGGGAATATAAATCCCTGTCCAGAGAGTTAACAGGAGAAAACATAAATGAAAGGATTGGTATTAATTTGATATTTTAGGTTAGTATTGTAGCCCCTTTAGGAGCCTTAATAAGAGAATATTTTTATTTTCTAAGCAGAGCCTTGCAAAAGCAAAGGAAGATGTATTTTGGATTCAAGAGTCTTTGTGTGAACATATTTGCAAAACAGAAAAATACCTTTCCCTGCCGTATTATTTATAAATTATTTATTAAAATTAATTTGTTAATAGAACTATATATACACATAAACGGCCATACTTTTGGATATTGTAATTTCACTAAAACTAACAACTTATGCCTTTTTATATTTACATTTAACAAAAAACAATTATTTTAAGAAAGTGAAGGCTCAGCGCCTGTGGCTCAAATGGCTAAAGCGCCAGCCACATACACCTAAGGTGGCAGGTTCGAATCTATCCTGGGCCCACCAAAACAACAATGATGGCTGCAACCAAAAAATAGCCAGGTGTTGTGGCGGGCGCCTATGGTCCCAGCTACTTGGGAGGCTGAGGCAGGAGACTCGCTTGAGCCCAGGAGTTGGAGGTTGCTGTGAGCTGTGATGCCACGG